ACAATGATGAGGTCATGGTCTGTGGGGCGTTCCGTGGGTGCCTGCCAAAGGACACCGAGTGAGCTCATGGCTGGCTGCTCGCTCGCTCACTCGCCAGTCCACAAAATTGGCACACAGAAAAATGGCCGAGATGTGGCCAAGAAGCAGCACGGGGAAGGGGGAGGCACTGTGAGAACACGGTGACCCCTCTCAAGGGAGCTGATGATATATCTGGAACTCCTGTGAGAGAGGAGACGGTGCCCCATCCACTCACAGGACACAAACAGGACACAGCTGGACCACCTCTGCACAGATCTCCTGTATGACATGCAGGGTTTTGAGCCTCTCATCTCCACAGTTTATTACTGCAGCATCAGCATGTCCGCAAACTACATAATACCTTTTCAAAACAGCTGTTAGTCCTTCAAATTCAGCTATTAACAGAGGGACTGCATAGTCATCTTTTATCACTAGGGCCCTGAACATATTCATTGCATATTCCAGTTAAAGCTTTCTCCCCACAGCTGAAGGCCCTCTGGAGTTCCTTGTAAGGGATTCACTGAACGACAAAGCAATCACACTTGCTTTCACATCTCACAGAACCTGGGCCGTGGCAGCTTCTGCTCCTTTCACGAGACAAAGACGCTGACAGACGAAGGGATGCATGCGTCTCTGATATGCTGAGCTCAAGCGGAGCGAAAATTGTGGGCTGAGTCGTTTTGGGGAGACGTGCGACATCCACGCTGACAAAGATAATGGGGGCAGGGAGGGGTGAAGAATACAAATTCAGCTGAGAACTAGGTTGTGATAGCAAAAATAAAAAATGGGGTGCTTAACAGACCTATGAGGAAGGCAGGCATTCCTAAGTGCACGCAAGCAGCATGTTCGTTTGGGCTCAAATGAGCAGCATCTGCTGGTCATGATAAACGATTTCCTCCTTCATTAACCAAGGCTATTCACTCTGCCGGGGTGGGGGACAAGTCAGCTGCAGAAGCTCAAGATGGTGACAGCTGCAGGCACGATCAACCTGTGCAAGAGGTAGATCTAAAGGAGTCCACAGACAGACACTCATGGTAAAGCAGACAGATTCTGCTAAATCAGCACCGGCCACGACCACGCAGTGTCATCAAGGGGGCCACCGTCAAAATTCTTGCCGCTAGGTCCCTCAAACGTATGGATGTTTACATTCTCACCAGATACAGTGGCCTTGGGGCATGCTGCTGTTAGATGCTGAGCACCAGGACATACAGAACTTTATTTTAATACATTATCCGTTTGTATATATAAGCTAGATTAGACTTGTTCAAATGCCCCAATGAGCATGTCATTTTCCCCCCAAGAAGCCCTCTGAGGCTGACAACATACAATGTTATTAATATACTTTGGAGAAATTACTACTTCTCATGCTGTTAACGAGAAATTAAATATTCAAAGTCATACACATAGCAGTTGTCCTTCATCACTAACAAAGATAGTATATGCCTTGGCAAGTCACAGAAACGTAAAACATTTCATGTTCAGAAAATTAAGATTGAGGCAATTGTTCCTTAGCAACCAAAACTGTCAAATAGCATTACAAAGTAGTTAATGTCCAAAATGGTAACACTGCATATCTCCACTCTGACTATAACTCCACCATATGTATTTATAACAGTGGCCTGCCAGCAAATTACTGTATAAAGAAAGCCATTTCATGGCTTGATGGCTTGTAGGGTGTTAGGACCACTCAGTGCTGCAGAAGTCAGCCAGATATAGTTTAGTAAACCTTTCAGTCATTAGCTGTCATTTCAAATATAATTTCAGGTGCTTTTGTCTGTTCTAGGCACTACAGTCCAGCCTAAGCAGGGGGGGGAAAAAAAAGTCTGCCATTAAACCAAAAATAATCTTAATAAACCAATAAGAACCACCACCGATGAAATTGCTGGAAATGGAGAGAAAACGTAATATTACCAGAGGTGTATCACACTGCTGAGAATCTGCTGAGCCAAATGCTGACAGCCACAGATACACTATTGTCTGAGAACAAAAGGGACCACCAGATATGAGTCTGCATTAAAGCCCAGAACCCACAGAGCCACTGGGCCTTCATTAACTGGATTACTAGCTGGAGGAGACACTGTCCACTCAGCAGCAGTCACTCAAAACTGTACCTTGGGGGAGGGACTAAGACGATGGAAGCCAAGGTACTTGTTTCCACAATGAGAAAGTAATTAAAACATTTCCAGGGAGCTGCATAAAACTTGACAGTTCAATACTGAAATTAAACAGTGCCCTTCCTACACAATGTCCATCAGAGAGAACATAGGGCGCGACCAAATAGGGATACTACCAACTTATCACTTCTTGAAAAATAAGACTGAGGGTAAGAAAATACACCCACCCCGAAACAAGAATCATACTAAATCACAGAAGCATAAACCTCAAACCTGAGGGAAATGTGCGTCTGTGGGTCTAAGGGCTACCCCATCGTCCCAAAGTTCTCATGGGGCCCACAAGGAGCCAGAAAGGCTGCAGGGCCAAGGCTATAGGGGTGCTGGCAACAGCACAGCACAGGGATTAAGAGACACAAAACGCCTACACAGCTGACTGGCCAGATGACCTGGAGCGACTGTATGGCCTGTTCACACTTTCCCTCCCGCCCACACCCACAGGAATCTCCTGTTCATTAACCCCACATGGCGCCTCAGAGGTTTTTCACCACATCCCCCCCAACAACAAAATCCCACAACAAAGACAATGAAAAGAATGCATGTCATTTCCTTAAATGGCAGAGCGCAAACCTCATTAGCGTAGCCATTTTTTTTTTTTTGTTGTTTTTTAAATGACAACCACAGTCAGCAAATATCACACAGCATCAGAGGTAAATGTTGCGTGACAGTCAGACAACACAGTGACAGCATGTTTTACATCCCCCAAACGAATGTGTTTTCAAATGCACCAGAACCGCGAATCAAAGAGCTTACTTTAAGTAAGCTTTAAGTAAGCTTTAAGTAAAACAAGGAGATTTTCAGACAAATGGAGCTCAGTATGACAGCTGCCGATTAGCCGTCCGGGATGGGTCTATTAACCACAGCAGGAAAGGAAGGAGACAAAATCCAGCAGAAGGTCTTTCAGCAATGGTACCCTCTGTCTGATGCATTAAAACCCATCCGACAACTTATTTTCTTTCCTCGATATTCCATAGCCGAGCCACATGACAAAGGGAAAACACGAATCACAGGAAGGTCAGACACACCTCTCCAAGAGTGGGGGTGTAAAACCCATTCACACTGCAGCTGACAGATTTATTTACACACGCACACACCTGTACTCATATCTTTGTGGGAACCTTCCATTCATTTCTATGGACAAAACCCTAACCCCAACAATGACAACCTTAACCGCTATCAAGCCTTAATCTTAACCATAAGTAATCGAACAAAATAAGACTTCAAGACTTTTTATTATCAATGTACAGTTGCCTGGACAACGAAATTAGCTAAAGTGGAGAGCCTGAAGCTGCCGCGTCTGTGCGCGCCACCATCTTGGTTTCAAGTCTTTTTGCTTTTTCAGTTTTATGAATGCAGTCACAGATTTTTATAAAATTGAATTTCCCCTTGTGGGGACTAAAAAAATGGTAAATGACAATCTAAGTCATCTCATATCCACAAAAACGATATAAATCAAGGCTGCACCTCATATTTATGGATTTTTTTCTACAGATCAGCTGCATTAAGAATTGGTCAAAGATCCAATAAAAATGAGCAAAGTCACAAATGTAACAGGATTCACAAATAGCCAAGAAGTGATCCACAAATGTGAAAAATCCATTTCAGGTATAGAAATTGTTCTGTATTTTTGTGGATATGATTTTACACAACACAAAAAAACATTTGTGGACAGTGATGCATTTGTGATTTTTTTTTCCCTAAAAGATCAGCTGCGGTTTGTGGAGCCCCTAAATGGTCTGGGTGGGAAAATATTTTCTGATATAGCTGAGAGTTCTCTTGCAATATACTTTTCCATTACTAATAACAACTGTACTGTGTCCGTTTAAAGTATTAAAGATAGAATTAATGGACTAATAAGTATAAACCTAAGTGATACAGACATGTCCTGTAAAGAGTGCTTTAAGCATTAAACTATGGGGGACAATGCACACCATGTAACTTTCACATTATGTATTCTTAAACGCATTTATTTCTTAATTGCATTGTGGTCATTCACAGTCAGTGACTAAGCAAGACAGAAGGGCTATTTACGGTGAAGTGCACAGACAAAAACTTTGAAATGTTATTCGAAATTCACCCTTAAAGCAATCTGGAAAACCAAGGGGTGTTGCTTGCTTTTGTTGAAAGATATTTAAACAAAGACATAACTTTAAAAAAAAATATTTTCCCACCCAGACCTCTTAGGGGCTCCGTAGTTGTACAAACTGGACAAAATCCACAAATCAAAAGAAGGGAAATCACAAATAACAATCCACAAACAGACCGGACGTGATCCACAAATACGCATAACACATTTTTCACGTGTATAAATCGCTCTGCATTTTTGTGGATGTGATGTTACACAACACAAATTTAAAAATACATATTTGTAGATAGTTAAATAATTGTGAAGCTTGGTACATATTTGTAGATTGTCTTCTGTGGTTTACAAATGATAGAGTCCAATAAAAACTTCCATACACATCGGATGTGGCACTTGTAAGTATCCTTCCAAACTATCATCCAATCGATGAAAAATGTTGCCATAAACAGTGAATTTTGCAACACCACGAACGATAGCGCATAATATGAAAGACATTTTTATTTTGTCATCCGATATAAATCGTCAAATCGCACAGCCTTAGTCCCCACAATGTCAAAACAACAGGTTTTTATCACATTGTGGGGACATCTGGATCCCACAATGTAATGTATACCTGGACGACACACACACACACACACACACACTTCTTGATGCAGCTCATGCTGTAGCTCGGCAGCCTCTGCACAGGATGCTCAGGTCACTGACTGACCACCTGCTGGTGCCCTTACCTGTAGGCCTCGACGTCTCAAGATGCTGGAGTCGTCCATGCTGCCAGCGCCAGACCATCAACTTCTCCCGTCCCCAGTCTACCCCTCTAGTGAAGGCAGATCCCACCGGTCCCTCCCTGCCCTGTAGGCTGATGTACAGTACTTGTCACCTGAGCCAGTGTGTGTACACTGGCGGACTCCAGGGTGTCTTGCGGAGAGGGGCCGCAGCTATCAGGCCCTGTGGGCCAATTCAGTCACTCTCCCGCTGCCTTCCTGTATGTCACTATGCAATCAGCAAATTAATTCCCAAGAAGCTAGTGAGTCTTAAAACATTAAGAAAAGAAAAAGAAGGTCTTGGTATTAAACACTCGCAGGGGAGTTATTTTTTATTCCTACTCAGATTGTCTTCGTTTTTGGATCATATCACATTTTTTCTCGCCTCAGATGAGTCCTCCAAGTGCTTCCTGAGGTTCAAAACAGGGGATCCCTCAGAAAGACTCAAACATGGGTCTCCTCTCCCGGCACGCAGGATGTGGAGGAGACCAGTGTCCTTTGCTCTTTTCCAGCAGCAGGCATTCTCCGTGCTCTCCACCAACAAGCTTACACGGAGGCGACCTGGCCGACTGACCAGCTGTCCCATTCAGTACCAAGGTGTCGCTCTCACCAAGTGCAGCCCCAGTGCACCACTTTAGTATCACCGTTTCGCAGTTCCTTTTTTTCAGACCCGTACACAAACCGTAAGTCTACACACACATAAATCCTACGGAGACCACAGTTACTGCATAATTTATAAGTAATTTTCCTTAATGACAACTATGAACCAAGAAAGAGAGTTTTGAAAGATCAATTACATTTACCAGCCAGACACCATCACAGAGATTAAATAAGTCCCATAATAAGTGAAGAGAGAGTGACTGTTCTGCCCTGAAACAGACACAGAATCATAATGAATGCAGCACTCCACAGCAGACACAGGCTATGTATCCGACAGGCATCTGATAGTGTGTGCTACAGTTCCCCCAGGGAGACACACTGGATCATCGAGCAGAGTCCACCAGCAAACGATTGCTTGTTTTAGATTCGCCAAAGTCACTATGAGCCACTCTCTCCTAGGCTCTATATATCTCGGCAGCAGCTCAGGGAAAGGTAAAGGAAACAGTCCAGCGGAGTAGCACTACCAGATTCCGTTCCGCCAACAGTGTAACTTCCTGTAAGAGATTCTGTCCTGCAGGTTCCCGACCAGGCACTGAGGTTTTGGCCTGAGGGTGTGCACGGGGCTGCACGGACACCGCCAACCTTTCTTCTCTTCCGATGGTCCCTGAGCAGCTCCCGCGGCTGGGAGCTTCAATGGGGAGCTGCTTCGAATGCCACACAAAGGGCACGTTTTTCCTCAGGCTTTCAGTCTCTCTCTCGCCTTTACATTCACAAGGAGGGAGCTGAAGGAACAGCCTGTGTGAGCGACTGGCCCTTGGAAGCCGTTTTTCCACAGCGCTCTGCCCCTCGCTCTCTCTCCCCCTCTCCAACATGTGCCTTCCCTCTTATTTCCTCTAGCGAGCTGATCACAGGGCCAGTGTTGCTGCCTCAGTCTCCTGTCAGTGGAACTATTAAGCTGAGCAGCCAATCACACGCGAGGGAGGTGGGGCCACACTCGCATGAAATGAATGGGCGAGCAGCAGAGCCTTTCCTCCGATAGCCGCAGCTCTGTCATGCTCTACCTACAGCCCAGCCGGGGCCCATTCTGCGTGTGCGTGTGCTCTCAGCCAGGCGAGAACACACAGCGGTTGGCTTCCCCCTGCGAATCGCTGGCTGACGCTTCCTTATCGTGCTGCAATGAATTAGTCATGAATTCACTGACAAGAGCCTCGGCTGATTAAAAATTTATCACCAATATCTGAGGAGATAAAAGGCGTGGACTACTGCATGGATTTAAAGCTGTCAGATGTAACATCTCATCTGTGTTCTGTATTTTTGAGTGACCTAAATTATGATTTAATTTCCTTTTTTAGCAGTGTTTATTGGCCAATGTATTTTTATAATTCACCCATTGTTTTCTAGACCGCTTTGTTCTTGTTTCTTGAAGCAACAAGCTGCCCCTAGGCTAAGGGGGATTAGGGGCATTAGCGAGAGCATACACAGACAGCCAGGCTGCTTGTTAAAGCTGGCTCTCTGCTCCAGGGGTGCAGGCTTGCCCTGACCAGAGCAGGGGGGAGTGAGCTTTCCTTTACAGTATCTGGTATGGTGGGTGGCAGAATCTAGTGATAGATATGTTTCTATCCATATGTTTCACTATAACTGCTTCCCAGAAAGAAAGATGTTCTCTATTCTGGCTCCCAGAATTGGGGAGGGTGAGAGACCTGAAGCCCCTGGCTGCCTCGGATAATGTAAATGCACAAGAACAGATAAGAACTAGTGCCTGAGGGACACCCCATGGAAGAGACATGTGGCTATTCTCCTGAGAGGTGAAGATGCAATCCAGCTGCGAATGACACCCAGGAATACCGGGCTATCGCTTGCCCTAGGGTCAGGGGTTTAATTAAGAGATGTGTCCCATTCCGTTTTATGCCTGCGCTTTATTAAGAGGTTAATTACACGCACCCATCAGCCTTGCTGATGGCACTCTGTCTAGGACCCATTTCTGTCTCAGTTAGTGGTCCTGCTGTCCCGCTGTGTTTTATACCAAGGTGTTGACGCAGTGGCTGCACTGCAGGCAGATACCACAGGCCGATGATCATGAGATGGCTCGCGGCATCGAGCCAGCCGGCCATACACCTGGCAGTGGAAGCTTAAGCTTCCCGTCCGCAGTGAATGCGGCCGACCTCGTGCCCCGAGGAGACTCAAAGCCTTGCATGGTGCTGGAGCTATGAAGGACATGGCAAGACCAGCTGGCACGGTAAAAATAAGCAGGCCTGCACTCCAGCCTGAAGCCTCAGGGCCCAAAGGATTGTGATCTGCCAATCTGCAATTAAAGGATACAGTGCAGTTTCTCTCACTCACTAACTCACACACACACACAGCTCCGTAACGTAACGATAGAGTCTAGGGGACAGTCACTACAAGGAATGTTAGTCCCAAACTATACAAAGAGCTTCATAGCCTCATGAGTTAGAGATGACTACTGCACCCTAATCAGTGAAGCCTAATATTGATTATGCTCACAAAAGGCAGAATTGAAAAATAATGATTCGAAATCAGAGAAGCCAAAGACAGGAATTATCTGGCATAAGCAGAAATGCATCCCACTGCCAAGGCTGAGGCGAGCGCTGGTGCAGCAGCCCCGCAGCGCACAGATCTGCTGTTCATCTGATGCAGCGCAAGCAGCCGAGAGATTTACGAGCCGCAAATAAGCCAGCAAAGGTAACAGGAAACTACTGCGGCAGAATAAGCAGCAGTACGTACCGAACCCTAATGTGAGGAAGAGACTCCCAGATCATTTTGAGGGCACTATCTGTGGGGCTTATGCCTCAAATACCTCCATCAGGTACCCATTCTTCTTAGACCACTTCACATTAGGCCAATATGGGCCAAACACTAAGCCAGATGGACAATACTCAGCAGGCAGGTAGGGACAAAAACCGAAGCTGGTTTCCCTTCCTCTACTTTCAACACTATGCATCACTTTTTCACTCCCATGCAAGACCACGCCAAAAACTAGAAAGTGTTTCAGTAATAACCCCTTTAAAACTGAAATCACTGTTATACTGGTAAGTTAAGAACTACGTATTAAACCTTACATTTGTAAATTCCATTGCCTGATTGGTTTATTCATGCTTCACTTCTTTGTTAAAAAGTGCAGCTACTTATTTGATCAGCAGTCATTAGAAATGCTGTGGCTCCTGTTTTCTTGTCACATTGCTGATTGTTAATTATTTCTTGCACTGTCTGTGCAAAATTGTCTCCCTTTGGCAACCCTGAATCTTATCCGAGCAGGAATCTGTGTGCATCTTTCAGGAAAATAAACAACAGCAATGCAAATAACTCTATGAAAGGCAGCCTTTGTCTAAGGGAAAACATCCAAAAGTGAGTGGCTCGATGCAGTCACCTGGCAGGGTCGAACAGAGACAGAACCCAGGATGCTATGTGAGGCAAAGCACACTGTTATTGGTTAACATACATCTGCTCATAAGACACTAGTTCTCATAATTCACAATTCTTAATTCACAGAAGAGTAATACAACAATCCGATGACAGGAATTTGGCCAAAATCCTGACCTAGTCTTCCATTTAGCTGTATGTTTGGCAGTATATACAATATGGAAATTGTGGTCCACGGGGGGGGGGGGGGGAAACACAGGAATGTGCAATTATTCAAACTAACAGGGGCAAAAATGCCCAAACACAGAGCGACACCCCAGCGTGGGACTTCCATAGGCTAGCATGAAATGGCAGAGTCAACAATCAGCACCTGGAGCAATGGTTCAGAGGGCCTCCACTCAGACAAAGAAAGGGAGAGGAGAGAGACAGCATGGATAGAACACTTTATCGGGAGAGACAGTCTACAAGAAATACATATCAGGGAGTAGATTAAGCTTGGAACAGGGCAGAGGATTGCTGACTACCCAGACAAGCACTACCCAAAAAAAAGGCACTGCTTGATACATAGCATTTAGGCCCACGCAATGGCCACTTCCTAGCCAGAGCCCACAGAAACCAGACCCTTATAACAACAGAAGCAGTGATGGATTGGATGAAACTCCACCAGGAACAAGGGACATGCGATGATCTAACGTCACGGTCATTTTTCAAGCAAGGACCAGTGGTAACATCCTTCTGTTTTTCTAATAAGGTGATTCATCTACTGAGGGCAGTGATGAGATCCCCGGGTACCTGCAATTGCCAGTTCAATGCTCAGGGAGACAAAAAAAAAAGGGTCTCGTTACAGGACAACCTCCAGAAAAAGAAACGCCAAGAACGATAAGGAAGACACGTTTCCAGAAGGTGACTCCCACACAGTCCATTATGCTGTTCGCTGTGTCAACAGCCCCACTGCCTGAAACATCCCACAAACTGCCTCTGAGAATTTCCATCTCAATGAACATCACACACACCTTGAATATCTACTTTGATGCCACCGAACTCCCACTCATCCAATACACTCAAGTTGCTTTCCTTGCTCACTTTAGGTCACAGTGTCAAACCAGGAACCAACAAATGGCACTTAGCTGCCCAAAAGGCCGCCAGTACCCAAATACTCCGTCTGACAAGCTTGGCGGATTTACGCCTTCGCCGCTTCTACGGCAGCCATGGTATCAGCTACTAAAAGCAGCTCGGACTGTCAGCTGCTCCCCATCAGCTGACACTCCAGATAAAACCACTGCTGGTTGGGCCACTTAGGTACCCAATGGCTTTTTCCCCTTCCCCTCACTTTCCAGCTGTTACTACAACATGTCAAAAAGCCCTGGTTTTCCATTACAGTCTTTTGTCACAAAACAGTATTATAAAAACATTGCATGCAAGACACCAGAATGAAAGGTCTCCAAAGTAGGAAAACATGCATTCATTCCGAGCAATAAAATGCTCCGGATAGTGTTGTCACCACCAAAGTTTTTGTTTTGACAACAATACTAAGTCATTATTTTAGTTCATTTTTTGCCATTTTCCCTAAAAAGGGAAAACTCTCACATGTCATTATTCTGCTTAATTTCAAACAAGTATCATAAACGGGAAAAATCAGTATCGGTAGGTCATACTTGCATAAAAATTGGAATCGGCCAAGAAAATTACAAATCAGTGCATCTCTAATATTCGTATCATTTGCGGGCGGGTCAGTCAAAATAAAATTTAAGCATATTACTCAAAAAAAAGCAGTTTGTGCAACATTTAGTTTGTCGGGTTGAATAAATTGCCGAGTTCAAGTCACTCATGAAACAGATCCACGTATCACTGCGGAGAGGCTTTTTGATCACTCGTTTCTTTCATGGACATAAGGGCATAAACTAGTCAACTATCACCTGTTGGTATTTGAATTTCTTGAAAATGTTTGTCCGATTGATGTCTGGCCAGGTTTGACACGTTGCCACCCTTTGAGAGAAACACTTAAAACAGGACTTGAAGAATGGAGCAGCTGTGTTTAGGGCATGCCGTTTTTTCATAGCCGAAATATCTCCATATTTCACTTCGGAAACCCTCCTTAAAAGGAGTTCAGGTTTTGCTGAAGCCACTGCAATATCTTCAAGTATAACTTCTGAACAAAGTGAAATAGTACAGCCACTCCCTCTGTCGTTGCTCTCAGTTGTTTCCCGCAATGTTACACGCGCCACTAGAGCAGCCTCACCTCTGTCACTGTTGAGCTTAGAGAGACAGATTCCTTTCAGCCATATCAAATAGCCATTCACATAATAAAAGTATTGACTTCTGCAAAACGCTGGTATTGTACCACACTTTTAAAATGTACAGTAGTTGTTTTTCAGCACTGGTTTACCACACACCCCTACCTGTGGGGTTTTTTAAAACTTAAGACATCTTTCCAGTCAATTTCAGAGACATATTACGACCCACATTTACTCCCATTTAAAGAGCCAATCATCCTACTTCAGCA